GCTTTCGTGGCCAGACCCATCGGGCCACTATCAACGCCTTCAATACACCCGACCGCCCTCCTAAGGGACCGTGTTACCGGTGTGGGAAGACGGGTCACTACATGAAAGACTGCCCCGAGAAAACGTCGCCGACAGGGAACGACAGGAAGGAGCAGGGAAATGGGAAAAGTCAGTAATTAGCGGGCCCTTTACTGACTATGCTCCGTCGCCCGAACCCCACCATCCCCACCGAGTCGTGGTTCCGATTCATGCAATCGATCGCACTCGGCCGAATAACGGGGATACACATGTGGATCACCCTGTGCTGGTCGTTGGCAAGGTGTTAAAACATAATTTAAAAATGTTCGTCGATGGGGGGGCCAGCCATAGCCTCTTCAATCTGGCGAGCGCAAAAAAATGTAAGCTGCAACTTGACAGGTGTCTGCCCGAAATCGACGCTCGCCTCGTGGATGGGACGCCGCTGGCGATAACGGAAGAAACACGGACGGTCAGGATCGAATGCGGCGACGATTTCGGCTTCAGCATGAAGTTCCTCGCGACGACGCTGGACGGCTGCGACGTACTACTTGGACGTGATTGGCTGCGACGACACAACCCCGTCATCGACTGGACCACGGGATCGTGCAGCATCAGCAAGCACGAGGGACTAGTCAAACTTCCTGCATGGACACCTGACTACATCCAAGCCCCATGCGTCAAAGCCATCACTATAGCTCGCCACTTCAACAGGGGCGCGCAGCTGTTCGCCGTCTGCTTGCGCGAGTTGGCAGTCGACACCGACGGAAAGGACATCGAAAAGCTGTGTGCAGCTGTCCCTTCGGATTTAGCGGAGCTGATTCGACAGTACCCCGACATTTTCCCGGACGATCTGCCACCTGGACTCCCACCCGAGAGACCCGAAGACCACAAAATCCAGCTGGAACCTGGCGCGCAACCAACTGTTCGGACACAGTGGCGATTGACTCAGCCGGAACTCGAGGAGCTACGCCGACAAATTGACGCACTGTTGGAGAAAGGGTTCATTCGGCCGAGCACCTCCCCGTTCACGGCGCCGATCCTGTTCACTCCGAAAAAGGACGGCGGGCTTCGCATGTGCATCGATTATCGCGCGTTGAACCGGGTGACCATCAAATCTCGCTACCCAATCCCACGCACCGACGACCTTCTTGACCAACTTCGCGGCGCTCGCTACTTCTCGAAAATCGACTTACGTGGCGGTTACCACCAGATTCGGGTCTTCGCCGACGATTGTCACAAGACCGCGTTTCGCACACGCTACGGGAGTTACGAATTCACGGTGATGCCTTTCGGCCTCACGAACGCGCCTTCGACATTTCAACTGACCATGAACAGGGTTTTCAGGGATCTTCTAGACCGATGTGTCATCGTCTATTTGGACGATATCCTCATTTTTAGCAAGACACGGGAGCAGCATCTCCGCGACCTGGACGCAGTGTTTTGCAGGAGAACCGCCTCATCACCAAGGGCTCTAAGTGCGAGTTTTTTAAGCAAGAGTTGGAGTTTTTGGGGCACGTCATTTCCCGCGACAACATTAAAATCGACCCGGCGAAGATCAAGACCATCCAGGAGTGGAAGGCCCCGACTAATGTCACAGAACTTCAGAGTTTTCTGGGGTTCGTGAATTACGTCCGGCGGTTTATCCCGAATATGGCGGGGATAACCGGCCCGCTGACCGACCTGCTGCACAAGGACAAAATTTTTGTGTGGGGGGGGGAGGCAGAAGCGGCTTTCCAGGAGCTCAAGAATTTTCTCGTTTCCCCTCCTGTGCTGCGCATCGCCGACCCATCGAAGCCGTTCGAAGTCGTAACCGACGCCTCTGATTTCGCCATCGGAGCTGTGCTACGGGCTGCAGCCGATCGCCTACGAATCACGCAAGCTGCAAGCTGCCGAGCGCAACTACCCGATCCACGACAAGGAGATGCTCGCCATCATTCACGCATTCAAACAGTGGCGATGCTATCTGGTGGGCGCCGACGTCACTGTGCGCACGGACCACAAGTCCCTACAGTACCTGCGAGCCCAGCCCAACCTCAACCCGCGACAAATTCGGTGGCTCGATTACATGGAGAGCCACTTCACCTACCGCATCACGTACAAGAAAGGGGCGAATAACATCGCCGACGCCCTGACCAGACCGACCGTACAATCCGCTGCAGTACTTATCACCCATTCGAACCCCTTACTTACTGGACTATTCACCCACGGCTACACTACGGACCCGTTCTTCACGACAGGAAATCATCAGCAGGCCACGACGCAGAAGGGGGATTATTACCTAAAAGCCGGAACCGACCGGATTTGGGTTCCCGCTTACCGGCTGCTGCGTGAACTTCTCATCCAGGAGGTCCACGATTCGAACTTCTCCGGACACTTCGGGGTTGACAAAACCCAGAAATTACTGCACCGTCAATATTACTGGCCTGACTCCTCTAACGACGTGCAGCGCTATGTGTCCTCATGCAGGGTGTGCCAGGCCATGAAATCGACACGTCAACGGCCAGTTGGATTGCTGCAACCCCTCGAGCCACCCGAACGACCGTGGCAGCAAGTGACGATGGATTTCGTCACAGGGATGCCAGCTGGGCCGTCCGGCAACGACGCTGTTCTCGTCGTCGTCGATCGCTTCACGAAAATGGCGCACTTCGCCCCATGCCGAACGACAATCACAGCCGAAGAAACTGCGCGCCTCTTCATCTCAACGGTCGTGCGACTGCACGGCATCCCTTCGGCGATCATCAGCGACCGAGACCCGAAGTTTACGTCGAAATTTTGGAAGGAAACATCGGCGCAGTACGGCACGAAGCTACAGTTCTCATCGGCATACCACCCACAGACGGACGGACAGACCGAGCGCACCAACCAGACCATGGAGCAGCTGATACGGACAAACTGCCCCGACCCCGCACGATGGGAAGATTCCATTGCCATGTTATAGTTCGTCTTCAACAATGCACCGTCAAGCACGACTAATCACTCCCCGTTCTTCCTGAATTACGGGATGGATCCGACGGTTCCCACGGCAACTTCGCTCGACAACCCGGTCCCGAGATCGCAAACTTTTGTGACAGAACTTCAAAGCATCCGAGAGAAGGCCGCGGACGCAATTCGCAGGGCGAATATTACTTCAAGAAAATACACCGACCTTCTACGCCGCGAACTCGTCCTGACCACTGGGCAACTAGTGCTGCTCGACACGAAAAACCTCAGATTGCCCGGCCCGTCCAAACTCCGACCACGATTTTGCGGACCCTTCAAAATCATCAAGATGGTGACGCCAGTCACGGTGAAACTGTTGCTACCCGACGACTGGCGAATTCACGACGCCTTCCACGTCAGCCTTCTTCGCAAATTCGTACCAGCCGCGACTGACATCGCACGTCAGCAAGCTGCCCCGACGGCACGACCTGTCCCGGAGCCTACCCTTGACCCTTCCAAGATTCTCGCTCACAGGGTCCGACTGGACGCTTCTGGCCGCCACGTGGATTTTTTAATCCGCTGGACTGACCGCACGAGTGAGGACGACACGTGGGTGCCATCCGCCTCGCTTGACGCCACCCACCTTATTGGTGATTATCTGGCACGCAGGCGCGTCTCGGATATTGACAGCCTTTCTTAAGGGGGGGGTAGTGTAAGGAATTTTTCCGAATTCCTTATCGGGGTTGACTGCTTCGCGTACAACCCGATTTTCGGACTTTGCACGTTCGGCCGATTTCAACGCTGCCGAGGCTCCTCGCGTCGCCTTCGGCATTTCCCATCGCCAAACCTGCTCCAAACCGCGCTCGTCCGAGTTTTCCCCCCGCTAGGCTAGCCCTACATTAGTCTGCACATTCATTGTATTCTCAGTTGGTTGAATCACAGCCTCGTTATTCGTTTACCTGCGCACTCCTTTTACAACTCATAACACATTACAGGTTATCCATTCAAACTATGCTTCATGGATCTTTATGCTTCATGGATCTTTATGCTTAAATTCCATTCTATGCATGAACATCAATCTCATCATCAGAGATTTCTTATAGCTAATAACAGGTGCAGGTTTCTTGACATTGTGCAAAGAATGAGCCTGGCCATGACACCCCCAACCCTCCACCTCGCCTCCATTATCCAATCCAAACCCCCTTGGTATGGCAGAAGTCAGCAGCAAAGTTGCATGGGTAGGGGTCCAACAATGTCTAGCCACATTGCCTGAGCACCTGAAATACTAGAATAAATACCGTGCCTTGAAGTAAACCTAGTGTGTTTCATTTAGGGTACCGTACATTCCGCTCCGGACATGTACCCTTAGAAAGTGTCCGAATCACTTTTTGCCCGAGTCGCGTTCAATTCTCTCGGAACCTCATGTCCCAATCGAGCAATGTACTGCGACCCTGAACGACTGAGCGACAATTATACGTGCTCGAATCTGATTGGTTATCTTTGTGAGTGGCCGCAATGTGTTTGGAGGAGCTTGGGTCCCTTGGGGAACGTGTATTGGACCTAGGGGGAAGTTGCGCAGGCGGGAAGTGCGCGGGCCTGTCAATAATTCCGAGGGTGTTCGGTTTGACCAATCAAGTCGCAAAGAACGCGTTGCTGCTGATAGCCGTGACTGTAGGATGATGACCAGATACATGTAGGCTTGATTGACATTTGGCACCGCGTGCGAGGGCTGGTGTGTGTCGCGCCGGCCAGCAATTAGCCCGCGATTGTTCCGTCTTTCACGTCACCCAATGATAAATACGGTTCGCGACATTCACGTGCGGTCCGGCATTCGGACACATGGCAGCATATGCTGTAAGTACGCGTCACAATCGATTCGGACACTTTCTAAGAGTACATGTCCAGAGCGGAATGTACCCTTAGTAAATTACAAGTTTAGCCCATGGATTTTGCATGACCATGATCACTATCTGGTCGCCGCTTCCATTCGATTGCACAAAACCCGCACAAACAGCAAACGAGTTATTGAAGGTGAGTCACATCAAGCGAAATGGTTACAATTCTCACAGTGCAGCAACTCCAGTGGTAACCAGCTGTGCTGGCGATCCGTCAACGAGAAGATAATCCAGGATCATATGCTGAGAGACATAGACACAGGTGCAGGAGAGCGGGTACGAAGGGTTGAAGGGGGGTTTGGGAGGAGTTAGGGAGGAACTAAAGGTGAGAATGAAACGGGTGGTGTGTAGCGAGAGAAATTTCGATTTGACCACTCACAGTTGAGAAGGGTTTGAGGGACGGAGGGGAGAGAGGAGAGGAGGGCGAGGGAGGGCGAGAAAGAGGATGACGAAGGAAAAGAGAGGTGGGGGGAAGGAAAAAGGAGGATGATGGAAAGAAGGGAGAAGGAAAGTGGAAAACGAGGGAGAAAAGGAAGAGAGAGAGGAAACGAGGAGGGACACGAGGGTTGAAAGGAAGGGAACGCATGAGGGGAGGAGTGCCCCCCTGAGGACGGCTGCATCGCTCTTCTTTCTTTCTTTCTTTTAGACGACTAAAAAAGGTGAGAGGAGCACTCGAGGATGGCTGCATCGCTTATTATTATTATTATTATTATTATTATTATTATTATTATTATTATTATTATTGTTATTGTTATTGTTATTATTATTGTTATTATTATTATTATTATTATTATTATTATTATTATTATTAATTGGGCTCAAATATTAGAGAGTGCTTTGAGGATGGCAGCATCACAGCATGGAAAAAGGCAGCAGGGGATCGTGCCAACTTGCCAACATACCCACTTGTGCACATGCCAATATACCCACTTGTGCACATGCCAATAAACCCACTTGTGCACATGCCAATATACCCACTTGTGCACATGCCAATAAACCCACTTGTGCACATGCCAATATACCCACTTGTCCACCCACTTGTCCACATGCCAGTTTTCCTAAGTGGCGACGTGTCAAATCAATCGGGCATAGGAAGCAGCGGCGGGGCACGTGGCAGAGAATGGAAACAAGGGACGAGTTGAGAGAGTTGAGAGAGTTGAGAGAGTGTTGAGAGAGTTGAGAGAGTTGAGAGAGTTCAGGTTGGTCCAGTACCCCATACCCACCATCGCCAACTATATTGGTGTTACTTTTGAAAATTCTCAAAAGTTACCCCATACCCACCATCGCACATGGGCAGTGCACTCTACTTTGTGCTCTTGCTGAGTGGACTGGGCGGCATTCTCACCTTTGTCTTCTTGCTGAGGACACTGGGCGGCACACTGATGTTGCCACTGGCATCTAAGTACCTGGAAAGAAAAAGCATGCATGCAAGCATGCATAGACAGATCAATGGATGGATGGGTGGGTGGGTGGATGGATGGATGGATGGATGGATGGATGGATGGATGGATGGATGGATGGATGGATGGATGGATGGATGGATGGATGGATGGATGGATGGATGGATGGATGGATGGATGGATGGATGGATGGATGGATGGATGGATGGATGGATGGATGGATGGATGGATGGATGGATGGATGGATGGATGGATGGAGGAGGGGCTGTAAACAATGAGGGGGTGTGACATGAAACTGCAACAGAGAAAGATTGATTGAGTTTAAGAATGCAAACACGGGCATGGGTGGTGCAACCATGATGCGAACATGCAGGAGGGGAAGGAAAGAACTTGGTCGTAGGCACAGGCATCATTGAAAAACAACACAAGTTATTATGTAACCAAAACACGTGAGATAGAATGGGCTGAAGAGGTCTGGAATGCAAACAGTGCAGTCCACGGAGTTTAAAAGTCACTTTTGAGAATTCTCAAAAGTGATTCCCAAATTGCAAGTCAACGGAGTTTAAAAGTCACTTTTGAGAATTCTCAGCAGTGATTTCGGCAAGTCAACAGAGGTTAGAAGATGGGGATTGAGAGAATGGGCTCCGACTGAATGAATGAATTTTGGGTGAATGGGGTCAGAGTGAATTCGGCTTAAGAGAAATCGATGGGATGATGGATGGGCTTTTGGGCCCACTTTGTGAGTTTGAGTTGCTTCAGAGCCGTCCTAATGTCCTCTGATTGTAGTGCTGTGCTCTTGGATAGACTCTGATGGTGGAACAAGAGGGGAGAACAAAAGTGGGCGGAAAAGGGAATGAGGACGCGGGCAAGTGAGAAAGTGGATGAGTGGGGGAAAAGGTGTGTTTTGAGGCGCCTCAAAACACACCTCAATGAAAGTGGATGAGTGGGGGTAAAGGACATGAGGCGTTAGTGGGAGGGAGCACTCATTCTGTTGATGCAGGTGGTGGGAAGGAGAAGGTTAGTGAAGGGAGCATGGGCCATTGGGTCACTTGAGGATGAGAACGGTGCTGGGCATATGTTACTTGTGATGGGATGGGACACAATCAGTTGGAGTGTGAATGTGAGACAGCAGCTGGGGGGGATGCGTTCTCAACAATCGCATTAAACTGCAGCCGTGTGCGATGCATTCTTCTGAGTGTGTGTCAACAGTCCTAAGACAGCAGTGATGCTGAAGGGTATTTTTGAGAATTCTCAAAAATACCCTTCAAAAATACCGTGTGCGATGCATTCTTCTGAGTGTGTGTCAACAGTCCTAAGACAGCAGTCATGGTGGGATGTGCATGTGCGTTAATGGGAGTGATGCGAGATGTCTGGGGAATGAGGGGTGTGGGAGGAGGGAGGTGAGAGAGTTGTGTAAGGTAAGAGGCCATACATCGATGCTGCAGCTTCCTTGAAGCTTCTTCAGAAAGCGCAGCAGCTGCCAGCGCCAGAAGCTTCTGAAGGCCACCTGAGGGGAGAGGGGGAGGAGTGGAGATAGAGGGGAGGCGGGGAGTGGGGGAGGAGTGGAGATAGATGGGTGGTGGGGAGTGGGGGAGGAGGTGGAAGGGAGGTGTGAGGGGACTTTGAGTCGACTTTAAGGTCCCCCTGCAACAGCTGCCAGCGCGTAGCTTCTGAAGGCCACCTGAGGGGAGTGGGGGAGGAGTGGAGATGGGGACTCGGGGAGGTGGGAGGTGGGTGGTTGGAGGGGAGGTGTGAGTGAAGGTGGAGGGGAGGTGGACGAGTGGGAGGAGGAAAAGGAAAGGGAGGGGGAGAAAACCCTGCAGCCCAGAAGGTCAGTCTTGAACTCACAGTGCCGAGGTCAGAGAGAGAGGGGGGGCTTGGGCACCAGACGCTGCTGATGGTGCGTTGCTCGCCCCCAGTAATAGACTTGACACGCAAAGAAAAGGAAATTCATGAATAAAAACACTCTCCAACTCCCACCCACCCACCCCAGCAGGTGAGGGTCGAACTCACAGTGCCGAGGTCAGAGAGGGGAGGGTTGGGCACCAGACTCTGCTGATGGTGTGCTGCTCGCCCGCAGTAATAGACTTGACACGCAATTAGACCATACCGGAAAAAAGGGCACTCATGAGTAAACCCACTCTCCAACTCCCACCCCCTCTCAGACCCCAAAAGGTCAGTGTTGAACTCACATTGCCGAGGTCAGAGAGGGGAGGCTTGGGCACCAGACGCTGCTGAAGGGCTGCTGCCATGTCATAGGCTGAAATGGGCGGGCATGCATGGATAGTGGGAGAGTTGAGACGAGAATAAGAGTCTGGAAAAGGGGAGGTATAGTGGCAGCTGCTAGAACGAGACACATGGGATGCAGCCCTGTACCAAACCTTTGAGGCGCCTCAAAAGTAGTATCCAACAGACACACGAGGCGCCTCACAAGTAGTATCCAACAGACACACGAGGCGCCTCAAAAGTAGTATCCAACAGACACACGAGGCGCCTCAAAAGTAGTATCCAACAGGCAGGTTTCTCACCATTTGGGAGGAGAGATTGGTTATATGTTGGTAGTTATTCTCAAGCTAAAGAAGAAAAGAGAAAGGGAGGAAGCAGAGACTAATTAAGTTTCATTGTTGGAAGACGGGGAGTGCAGGTTGCTCACCGACTGAGATGAGGCATCGGCCGAACCCGCGACGCTGGAAGGGAGGGAGCACAACAACGCTGGAGAGATGGAGAATGGCGGGTGGTGATGATGGCGATGGTGACAATGCCGCCGAACCTCCTCTTGTCTCCTCTGCTTGGTTGGCTGCTGTGCATGACTCCTCCATCCTGAGTGAACCACCCTGTTCTTGAGGAGCCTTAGGAGCAGCCTTCTGAGTCGACTCAAAAGGCACATCGCCCGGCATTCGAGGAGCCTTACGAGCAGCCTCTGCCACTGCATCTGCCTCTGCTTCGAGACTGCGTGGATCAGCCAGCTTTTGATGTGCCTCAGGAGTCGTATCAACCTCCATGCCGTGAGAATCACCTGGCTCTTCTTGAGCCACATTGGGAGCCCCTGCCCCTGCCCCTGCCTTTGCTTCAAGTCTGCGTGGATCTGCCAGCCCCTGAGGCGCCTCAGGAGTGGTCTCAACATCCTTCCTGTGTGAATCGGCCGCCTCTGTACCTGCCGCTGGAGAGTTGCGCTTGGGTGGTTGAGAGGCTTGAAGGGAAGACTCCTGCAGTTGGGAAAGTGGGAGGGGAACAGGAGGGGGAAGGGGAACGGGAAGGGGATGGGGGAAGGGGGTGGGGAAGGGGAAGGGGAAGGCGAAGGGGAAGGGGAAGGGGAAGGGGAAGGGGAAGGGGAAGGGGAAGGGGAAGGGGAAGGGGAAGGGGAAGGGGAAGGGGAAGGGGAAGGGGAAGGGGATGGGGAAAGGAAAGGAAATGGGGAAGGGAAGGGGAATGGGATTGGTGTGGGCTGGTGGGCTAATTGATGAAAGCATAACGAACATTATATCAATAGAAGACTTTTGAGGTGCCTAAAAAATGTCGGGTAATGAGACGACTTTGAGGCGCCTCAAAAGTTGGTGTGCCAATCGATGAAAGCACAACCAACTTTGAACCAATGAAAGCACAACCAGCTTTTAACCAATGAAAGCACAACCAACTTTTAACCAATGAAAGCACAACCAACTTTTAACCAATGAAAGCACAACCAACTTTTAACCAATGAAAGCACAACCAACTTTTAACCAATGAAAGCACAACCAACTTTTAACCAATGAAAGCACAACCAACTTTTAACCAATGAAAGCACAACCAACTTTTAACCAATGAAAGCACAACCAACTTTTAACCAATGAAAGCACAACCAACTTTTAACCAATGAAAGCACAACCAACTTTTAACCAATGAAAGCACAACCAACTTTTAACCAATGAAAGCACAACCAACTTTTAACCAATGAAAGCACAACCAACTTTTAACCAATGAAAGCACAACCAACTTTTAACCAATGAAAGCACAACCAACTTTTAACCAATGAAAGCACAACCAACTTTTAACCAATGAAAGCACAACCAACTTTTAACCAATGAAAGCACAACCAACTTTTAACCAATGAAAGCACAACCAACTTTTAACCAATGAAAGCACAACCATCTTTAGCCAATGAAAGCGGTTCACGTAGAACTGGCAAACCTATATCAATGAAAGCATTAAGCCTTACAATGGCGAAGTAGCCAATGAGAGTATGCCACGTGTCGGAGCCCCTTGTGAGGACATAGAAGGTATGGCCTTCTACAGTGTATACCTGTGGCTTGTGCTCCAGAAAGAGCTTGCCTAGGAGGGAGAGGCACTGCAGACAAGGGAGAAGGAAGGAGGTTGAGAAAGAAACGACAAGTGTACTGCTGTGTACACCCGTGGCTTGTGCTGCAGAAAGAGCTTGCCTAGAGGGAGAGGCACTGCAGGGAGAGGCACCGGAGGAAGTGTGGGAGCGCGAAGAAGTAGGGAAGGAGGTGGAGCTAAAAAGAGTATGTGGTGCTGCGATGTATACCCGTGGCTTGTGCTCCAGAAAGAGCTTGCCCAGGAGGGACAAGCGCTGCAGGCAAAGGGTAAGAAGGCTTGGTGAAGGGAAAGATGCAGGAGAGGAGGTTGTTGGAACACCTGTGGCTCGTGTTGCAGAAAGAGTTTTTCTGTGGCTGTTAAAACACTTGTGAAGGGACAGTTACTTTGGGTAGGTGACACAACAAGGTGGGACAGTTACTTTGGGTACGTGACACAACAAGGTGGGGCGAAAGAAAAAAGGAAGAGAGAGGTTGGAACAGGGAAGAAGAACGAGGGACCCTGGCAGGGCAAGAAAGAAGGGGAGCGATTGAAGAGAAGTTCGATCTCCTAAGAAGGAACAGGGGGCGATTGAAGAGATTGGAGGGAGTAAATATGGGCAATGCGACATGAGCAGTTTTATGAGATGTCAAACAAAAGGGAAGGGACGACTTCACGTGTTGCGACATAGGCAGTTCAGCTTAGGAGATCAGGATGGAAAGGATGGAGGAAATTTCCTCCCACTCACGCTTCTACCTCCCTGGATTCACCTGGCAGTACAGCTTCGCATGGGTTGGATTGGGTGCACCTTGAACACATGCAGCATGGCGCTACCATCACTGCTACCACCACCACCACTACCACCACCACCCCTGCCACCACCACCATTGCCACCGCCGCATGCACCAGATTTCTCCTCCTCCATCTCTACCTCCCTGGATTTACCTGACAGTACAGCTTTGAATGAGCTGGGTGCACCTTGAACACATGCAGCATGCCGCCACCACTCCCCCCTCCCCCTTGTAACATCCCTTACCCACTTCATTTAACTCACCTGGCAGTACAGCTTCGCATTGGCTGGATCCACCCTGAAGACATGCAGCATACCGCTACCATCACTGCCACCAGTTTCCTCTCCCTTTCCAAGCACTCCTCCTTCGTTCCCGCCACCATTTCCGTTCTCTGCACCCTTCTGAACCGCATCAGACTCCTTGCTCCCCGCCTGCTTGCATTTCCCAGCTGACACCTCCTGCTCCTGCCCCTGCGCCTCACACTTTGCAGTCCCTCCCTTCCCATCCCCGCTCTTACCACTTCCTTCCTTCCCGACCTCCCCTTTCTCACACTCTGCTTTGACTCCTTCTCCCTCTTCCCGCTTGCGCTCACTGCCCTTCCCATCCACGTCAGCATCCCCGGCACACACACTGCCACCCATCTCAGCCACGTTAGCAGGTCCCCTTTCCAAGTCAGCATGCTTTGTACCACCAACACCATCACCATCACCATAACCAGCGCCACCAGCAACAGCAGCAGAAACACCACCAGAGCCTTCCGTTTTAACAGCAGCAGCAGCATCCGAACCAGCAGGGGCAGCAGCAGCGTCTGACCCAGAAGTCCCATCATCCCCTCCCACCACCCCAGGGATTCTAAACTGCAGCCCTGCAAACGCCTCTGCTGCAGCAGCAGTTTCTGTGCCTGTAGCTGTCGTCCCTGTCTCACTCCCCACTCTTCTCTCCCCTCCTCCACCGCCTACCCTCCCCACACCTACATCTGCTGCATGACCTGCCGCTGCAGCAGCTGCCACAGCAGCAGCCGCTGCTGAAGCAGCCAAATTGCCATCCTCCCGAGCAGTAGCAGCAGCAACAGCCTCCCCAGCAGCAGCAGCAGCAGCCCCACCCTCACGGGCCCCTGACCCTTGCCCTTCCACACGCCCATCTCTACCCCTCCCACCTTCTCTTTCCACCATTGGTTTGCATTCTTGAATGCCTTCAGCCCCCTCATCAAATGCGCCTGCTGCAGGAAAAAGCATGGGCAGCAGAAGCGTATCGTTCAGCAGGGATCTACGAAGTAGTTCCCTCACACTCACACACTTCTGATACAGGAGCGAGCTTGGCAGCAGAAATAAGAGTAAAGCGTGGCAGCAGGAGCAAGAGTAGCAGCAAAAGCGTTACACGGAGGAGAAATAGAGTTACCAGCCGCAGGCTCACGAGGAGGAGGAGGTGCAGCAGTGGGGGCAGCAGGGGCAGGGGGGAGGAGCCGGCAGCAGTAGACCTCCTCCCCTGGTGGGACAACGTGCTGGCATTTCCCCTGGTTGGTGGCATTTGGTTCGGAGGTTAAGACAGAACAGGGAGGGGATGCACTCAGGTTCGGCCCAAAGCATCACACTCAAGATAGGAGCCGAGACTGGGGGGTTATACCTTCTCCCCTGGCGGGACTGCCTGCTGGCATTTCCCCTGGTTGGTGGCATTTGGTTCGGAGGTTACGACAGAACAGGGAGGGGATGCACTCAGGTTCGGCCCAAAGCATCACACTCAAGATAGGAGCCGAGACTGGGGGGTTATACCTTCTCCCCTGGCGGGACTGCCTGCTGGCATTTCCCCTGGGACGCGACATTTGATTGGGGGGTTAAGACAAAACAGGGGATGCGCTCAGACTCCTTTCTTAGGTTCGCTCCCAGGATCGCCCCAAAGCATCAAACCTAAGAAATGAGTCCGGAGCAGAAACTCAGATTCGACTTTGAAAATATCCTTGCCTGCTGGGACAAACTGCCGGCATTTCGCATGATTGGTGACATTCAGGGGATGAGACGAGACAGGAGATGAATTCAGATTCGACTTTGAAGGGGCTGGAGTTTTCCTTCGGGGTTTCAGTTTAGAATTCAGGGCTCAGGGTTTGAATTTTAGGACTTTCCACGTGATTGAAGAAGTGTTTTGAGACGTCTCAAAACACTTCTTCAATCCCGTGGTTTTCCTTCGGGGTTTCAGTTTGGAATTCAGGGCTCAGGGTTTGAATTTTCAGACTTTCAACTCACCAGGTGTCGCTCATAGGCTGAGGGAGTGCTGGAGTACTTGAGACAGGCAACACAGATGAAGAGACGACCCGTGTTGGTGAGATGCGGTGGGTAAGGGGAGAAGTACCTGAAAGGCATGAGCGGCAGCACACAGGCACACACGTGCACAGCCGAGCAAGAAGCATGTGTGCATGGATGAAAAGATGACCCATGTGGGTTAGGTGCGGTGGGTATGGGGAGAAGTAAGTACCTGAAAGGCATGTGCGCCATGCCAACACACACGCACAAAGAATACGCCCAGCAAGTATGCATGCATGCGTGCCCCACCATGCGTTCATGCATGCGTGCCCCACCATGCGTTCATGCATGCGTGCCCCACCATGCGTTCATGCATGCGACTTTTGAGTCGACTCAAAAGTCACCTCTTTTGAGTCGACTCAAAAGTCACCTCTTTTGAGTCGACTCAAAAGAATACGCCCAGCATGTATGCATGCATGCGTGCCCCACCATGCGTTCATGCATGCGTGCCCCACCATGCGTTCATGCATGCGTGCCCCACCATGCGTTCATGCATGCGACTTTTGAGTCGACTCAAAAGTCACCTCTTTTGAGTCGACTCAAAAGTCACCTCTTTTGAGTCGACTCAAAAGAATACGCCCAGCATGTATGCATGCATGCGTGCCCCACCATGCGTTCATGCATGCACGCACACATGTGCACACACACAGACACATGCACACGCATGCGCGCGAGCGCGCACACACACACACACTCGCAACAATTGAATAGATTTATTTAAACAGCAAAATCACAGGCCGAGGGCCGAGAGTGCTGGTCACCTGCTCATCACCAATCCATCTTAACACACCACCTCTGCCTCCTCGCCCTCTCACCCCCATCCCACACTCACCACGAGTCAAACTCATGGTCACCGACCTCCACCGCCTCAACTTTCTTCACTCGCTCGCATCGGCCTCACCTTCCTCTCAACCTACCTCTACTCCTGCCAAACCTCCCCTCCCCCATCCCATCCCACACTCACCACGAGTCAATCTCATGGTCACTGATCTCCACCGTCTCAACGTTCTTCACTCGCATCTGCCGCTCCCACGCCGCCACGTCCCCACCTGCCTCCCTGCCTGTCTCCCCACCGCCCGCCTCCTTCACCCCTCCTTCCCCTCCCATGTCTGCTGCTCTATCTACATTCGTTCTCCCACGTCCCGATACTAGACCCACACCAGCAACAGCAGAGCCAGGCTCCTCTTTTACTCCAGAAACTGCCCTGGTTTCAAGATTTTGAGGCGCCTGGGGTGTGCCTTGTTGTGGGTTTGGATTGGCCGTAGTGCCAGGATCATCCAGTCGTCTCCTCTTAGGTCCTGTGAAGATCAATATCAGGCACGCAGGCAGGCAGGCAGGCAGGCAGGCAGGTAGGCAGGCAGGCAGGCAGGCAGGTAGGCAGGCAGGCAGGCAGGCAGGCAGGCAGGTAGGCAGGCAGGCAGGCAGGCAGGTAGGCAGGCAGGCAGGCAGGCAGGCAGGCAGGCAGGCAGGCAGGCAGGCAGGCAGGCAGGCAGGCAGGCAGGCAGGCAGGCAGGCAGGCAGGCAGGCAGGCAGGCAGGCAGGCAGGCAGGCAGGCAGGCAGGCAGGCAGGCAGGCAGGCAGGCAGGCAGGCAGGCAGGCAGGCAGGCAGGCAGGCAGGCAGGCAGGCAGGCAGGCAGGCAGGCAGGCAGGCAGGCAGGCAGGCAGGCAGGCAGGCAGAAACCAAGTATCAATCCGTACTGAATGAATCATGGCAGCGCAACATGTGCGACATTCCAGCACTGCAAGTGCTTGCACGCTGTATCTGACAAAAAATAAAATAAAACAAAGAAGAAGAAGCACACTCTCTCACCACCAGCAGCTGGAGAGTGAGCCTCTGTGTCCACGTCAGCAGCCAGCTCAGCCCGTATTTTGGCGTCCACGTCAGCATGCCCTTGATGATGGCTCTGGATAAGCTCATGCTCGTTCTTGTGGTTGTGGTGGTTTGGACGATCGTGCTTAAAGTCAAGTTCATGGTTATTGGCTTGCATATGCTCATAGCCATGCTCCCAATGCTCATGCTCATGCCCATGCCCATGCGCATGCCCGTGCTCATGCCCATGCCCATGAACATGCCCATGCCCATGCCCATGCTCAAGTGGATCCAAGGGGGCATCCATGGTGGTCCATGGCTCCACTCGGCTCTCCCCGACCCACTCGTCCAGCCGCTTGTTGTCTGCATCCCCTTTCAAGGGGGTGTGGTGGGCAGGAAGATCGGAGGGAGCGAAGAAATGAGGACCAAGGGGTAGAAGGAAGGCCCACTCGGCTCTTCCGCCCACCCACTCGGCTCTTCCACCCACCCACGCTTGGCTCGTCCAGACAATGTGTGTCTGCTCTGCTCTGCTCCAAAGAAACTCAGCCCATCTACTGCTCGCAGGACTCAAACTCCACATACAGAGTGTACACAGTGCTCCTAAAAAGCTTCCAAAAGGCAAAAAAAGAGAGAAAAAGGATAAGCGTATCAGTACGCACATTCTACATAGTGTATATAGTACTCCACTGAAGAAGCATCCACAAACTCAGTTCCTTTGTTTGCCACCGCCGCGCTTGCTGCTGCCGAACCAGCTGCTGCTGAACCTGGTGCCGAGCCAGACCCCGTGCCATCCCTATCGGCAGCACGTCTGGTGGTTACCACCTCTCCAGCGTCTGCAAGGAGAACGAGGGAGTGTAATCAGCAACACTGCACCACTACGGCAATACGTGGGTTTGCTGGTATTCACCTGCTCGTGTGACTCGTCGTGCCTTCAGTAATTTTCATCACCCACGGAGGAGATTGTAGCAAAAGAAAACGAAACCTGATAAGGCGCTACAAATATATTCACTCACGGTAGAGGTTGTCCCAGGAGGCGAGACACGCCACTCGCGACCCCGCAGGGAGCACCGCGCGACGGCCGGACCCCATTGTCGATCTCCCAAACCACAGGCACTCGTTGGACGAAGGGCTCCGCTCCGTTCGTCAAAATAGCACCGCTCAACGATTCGATGGCTCGACAGGGCGCCGAGTCAACGGGTCGACCACGTCGTAGAGTCTAGTTCTCAAATACACTGCGCGACCCTAGATTGCAATCTATCCCAGCTGTTGTTTGCAAAGATCACATCAGATTCTGCGGAGCCAATGCTTCTTTCAATGTGACAGCTACCACCTGCCACAGAGATACCCTGCAAAATCTGGATAATTTCTGGAGCCTCGTAGAATCTGATTTACCAAAAGGCGACTGTTTCTAAGGAAATATGTGAACTCCTTGGGATATACGACGGACACGACGGACGGACACGACGGACGGACCAAAAGGCGACTGTTCCTAAGACGACGGACACGACGGACGGAACCCGCACGTTCCAATTGTCACTTTAACAAAGCGGGCCCTGGAAACGAAAGCTGGAAAATATGTCGGCCTGGCCACTGCTGTGACAATGACGAGCCTATAAGCCTACTCTCGCGCACTCTGATTGTAGGAGTTCCGGAGCGCACGGCAATGGAAGAAGTACATCAGTCTTCAATGCTGCTGCTACGGAGTACACGGAATTCCCAAGGTGGCAGAAACTTGGTGGCGAAATGGTGGCCTTCAGAGGGAATGTCGAGTTCGGGCTCCAAGGAGGTTTTCTCAGAACAGATTTGCAGAGTCTAATCTACGATACTTCACTTCCATTCCGAGTCCGTTTCAAAGTCGTTCTTGGTTGTAGTAGGGATTTTGAGCCCGCGTTCACGACATGTTTCAGTTGGCGTTTCACAACTTCAAATTGTCCGTAACTCTCTGAACAGGACTTCGGGGCGGTCAGCGCGGTAAAAAGGGCCCCTACAATTCCTGCACAGCCACTAGATACACTGAGAAAAATGACCCAGTACCTGATTTCATATCCTCCATTCCAGCAGCCAATGCTGTATATGAGTTTCTTGTCAACTTCGCAACACCCACCCATCAAGCCATGACAGAGTGATCCCCGTCCACTTATCCAAGTCCCCACTCTTAAATTTTGAAAGAGTCCAGGCACAAATGCGTGCATGATGAGCTCGCATTGCATTGCAGTCATGCTTTCACACCACACCATTTAGATGCCTCATTACTCCCGTCCCGTCGCATCCATCTAAACTTCAACAATCAATGGTAGTACAATAGCACGAGTCAAGTCCCCTAGGTGGAAAAACAGCAGGTCTCCCCTCCTCTCCTCACTCCACCATTCCAGCTCTTGTCTCATCAAGCCACAACAATCTCCCCTCACTCCAAATCAGTGACTAAGATTCCCCACCTCACTCCACCTCACTCCACCTTCCTCTGCCTCATTCCATACCGTACCTCTCCTGCCCTTCACCTCTATCTTGTACTCCTCCACCTCTCCCCCTCCACCTGCACCTTTCTCGTCAGGTATAACACTAAGCCCCCACATACAACACCCCAGTCGCACCTAACTACTCATCTCCCCAGCACTACAACACTTCCATTTCCTCATAGTATCCTATCACATCCTTTCTCCCATGCTTCACTTCACCTGCACCTGTCTTGCCAGGTGAACCACAAACTCCCCATACCCCATAAGTGACTCTCATCTCTCCACCTTTCTCCATCACACTCCACCTCTTTCCCTCACTTCATCTGCACCTGTCTCACCAAGAGAACCACAAACTCCCCATACCTCATTCCTGTGGCGCTCCTCCCCCTCATCTCCACCTCACTATACTGCTTTTCCCTCAAGAGAATCACCTCCCCTCCCCCATGCCTCACTTCACCTGCACCTGTCTCGCCAGGTGAACCACAAACTCCCCATACCCCATTCCTGTGGCGCTCCTGTCCTCCACGAACGAATGGTAGAACGCCAGCTCACCGCTGCCGCCCTGCCGCAGCAGCTGCACCGCTTGATGACAAACCTCGCCGCCCCCTCTGCTGCCGTTGCCGCCCGGGAAATCCCCGCTGCGCAGGGCATCGACTATGGCTGAGATTCGGCCGGCAAGAAGGCTGTCAGGTGGAGGAATGAAGGGAACCTGGCAGAAAAGAAGACGCAAGGCAGGAGACAAACAAAGAGCCCTCTGGAAGGTGTTGAGACCACGTGAAAAAAGGAGTGTTTTGAGACGTCTCAAAACACTCCTTTTTTCACCTGGCAGAAAAGAAGACGCAAGGCAGGAGGCAGACTAAGAGCCCTCTGGAAGGTGTTGAGGGACAACTTCAGAGGAGGACGTCTTGCACACCTTCTGTACTAGCAAAACTGGAGCTAGACAACAAGGGGGAAGATGCAAAGGGGAAAGAGGGGGTGAAGAAATCAACGAGATCTAGTTAAGAACTTCTGAGAGAACGCTGAGAGAACGCTGAGAGAACTTTTGAGTCGACTCAACAGTCACCTCACAAGAACACAAGAGCAGGCCAACGTGTAAACACACCCCGAACACTAGTATAGAGTGGAAAGCTCAGGAATTGGTTAATGAGAATTCTCAAAAACCAGCTAGTATAGAGTGGAAAGCTCAGGAATTAGGGTATTTCAGGACTTAGGGTATATTGGGGGTGTTCAGAGAGTCCTGCCCCACGACTTGCCTGGACTCAAAACACCTCACCACACCTAACACAAAACGTACCAGGCTTATATCGGGGGCGTTCAGAGCATCCTGCCCCACAATCTGGGCGGCGGTGCCAGCTGGCAATGCGCCGCCCAGCCAGAGCGAGAGGCCGGTGCTGTCGTCCAATAGGAACGCGCCCTGCGGGTCGAGCGTTGACGTGGCGAGCGGTAGGGCGTGGGGGAGGGTGACGAGGCCAGCCGTGTCTTGCACCCCGCACTGCAAGTGGGAGGGGGGGGTGGAGGGGGAGGGGGAGGGGACGGGGTTGGTTTGAAGCAGCATCGATGCATCCTACTGACGACCCACAATGCCGGAGGGCGGAGGAGGTGAGAGGCGAGAGCAGCTAGGGACGTCTCTCACGCCATGCCATGCCATGCCATGCCATGCCATGCCATGCCATCATACGATCTCTCAGCCATGTGATGGCATGCTATCTCGCAC